CTGCCTGCGGACGCGGGGGGACTGCTTGTTGCTCTGTGCTTCGTCTTTGCGTGGCGGATTGGGGGCCGGGGAGAAGGTGGAAAGGTACCCCGCACGCTGCAGATGCCTGCTAAAGTGGTCTGTGCTTTCAGCTCAGAAGCGATCCGAGTTGTAGGCCTGTGAAAATGTTTCCAGCTTGAGCGCTTTTATATGTTTACAGTAGTCTCAGTGAAATGAATTGTGGGGAGAGGTCACCCAATTTTAGTCAAATCGCTGTTCCTTCACCCCTCTCTGTACCAAGAATCCACTGAAAGCAGCAAGCAAATTTCCTGAAGTTGCAAGGGGCAGGCGTTACTAGGTTATTTGATAACTGACTTGCTGAGCTAGACTAACTTATATGTGATTAAAATATTATCACAAGCCATAACTGAAAGGATATGTAAGAAGAGTTTTGATGCTTTGAAAGTCGCCTGTGTCATTTCGCTTGGCATAGGTCTTTTTTGTTTGCGTATCTGGAAACACAGGATTTGACTGGGGTTTTTTTCTGTGTTTTTGCAAAGCTACGTAGATCAAGTGAGAAACTTACTGCGTGCTCATACAATTCACGGTTGTACTTGGCTGTAGGTTAGAGGCTGTCTTCGTCTATTCTGTGCTGTCTTGGGATTTTGACAGGAGACTTGTGTTAGCAATCCATCACTGGCAAAACATGTCTCCCTTACAAATTTATGGTTTGGATATACAGAGTAAGTCATGTGAATAAGTGACTCACAGGAGGGTCAGCTAAGGGGCAAGCAAAGAAATTGCTAATATCCTTTCATCACTGTGTGAATTGCAGAAAACAACTGTGTTTAAAAATGAAAAGTGCTACATTACTACTGAGTCTGTTTTCCACTCCTCATGTCTCAGGACTTTAGGAACATTTTAATTAGGCTGTTAAACTCAGACTAGACCCACGCTTATTTTAGAGGACACACAAAACAGGTGGGAAATGTAAAGAAAGGTTTGAGGGGAGGGAAAAGAGTATCTGTTAGCTATATTGTACTTTCCTTTTTTTTTCCACAATTCAACGTTTCTCTGTAAGCATTTTTGTGGTGTTCAAAATCTGTTCTATGACAGTTTAAAATTACCTGTTAATGTATGCAAACTGAATTTTATAGGCCATAAAAGGAACAAATAAGCACAGCATGTTTCTACTAGATACTTTTGGGTGCTTGGACAGCTATTGCATAAAGTCTTGCACATATTCTTTATGAAGGTCCATTTTCTGTTATGGCTGTTTTCAGCTCTTTGGATGGGAGGGAATGCGGTCTCTCCTTCGGTCCTCCTAGTTTTAAACCCTATGGAATGTGTGGCTCTGTTTCCTTTAGTCCAGTGTGTAGTCTTGTTTGATTCATTTCTGCTCCTTGTGAGTTCTTGTATAAAAGTTACCTGGAGAAGATCATTGCTAACTGCCATGAGAATCTTATCTGGAAGGATTTCGGATCATGACAGTGAGAGCTGTGGAGGAGAGGGCTGTAAAACTCCAGTTTGCTTGCTGGGATGGTAATTATGCTTTCTTTATGGAAATCAGGTGACCAGATAAGGTCTAACTGGTTTGTTCATGTAAACTGAACTGTGTACCTGTTGCATACATCTGGTAAGTACTTCAGGTTTTTGTGGGGAGAGGGTTTCCCTGCCCCTTGTGTTAATTACACTTTAAGAGGTACTGCTATTGCAGTGCATGGAGTCCTTAGCGGGCAACTTGCACTTCAGACAGCTGTGGCTTTTCTCCCTCATTAGTCCCAGGAAGCAAGCAGTGAGGTGAAGCTTTAGCTATGGCAGTGCCAGGGAAATAAAGCAAACTGGATTTATGGCTTGCCCACTTCCCTACCCTCCTTCCCCCCACCCTGCTTTCTAGAAGAGAAACTGATTTCTGCTTCAGTTAGTCTGTTTTTGTCCAAATCTGTATTGCTTGCTGCCCTTACCGCATCCTTCTGAAGGGCAGGATTCTATTTAGAAGTTCAGTAACTTGAGTAAAGCACTGAAAGGCTAAATGGAGACTTGCTTACTGACTAAGTGATTAACTTAAGCGTAGAATTGCATCATCACCATGATATCTGGAAAGAAATGCTGAGCTCATGCTTGGCGGGAGTTAGTGCTCTTAATTTCCATCTAGGCAATATCAGGTGGTGGATTAAGTCATGCATGGGTCATCTCAGCCTTTGATATCATCTGTATTGATGTCTTTCTGCCTCCCAACCCCTTTTTCTCTATTGTATAGGGTTTTCCCAATGGGGGAGCACTGTAAGTTGTCTTCGAGTTGTTTTCTACAGTGCCTGTGGGTGTGGAATGGGGTATTACAATCTAAGAGGTTTACTTGATTTCTCTCTGCCATCTGTTTTGTGCTTAGGCGACTGCCAGCTGCAAACACCTTGTCGAATCCAAAAGTGCACCACCGATTTTGTATCCTCAACTTCACATTTAAACTCAGCTCTTGAGGGCTTTGATTTGGAGTTCTGCAAAGCCTTGCGGGCATACTCTGCCTGTACCTATCGCAATTCTAAAGTATGCCGTGGAAACCTAGTTTACCATTCTGCAGTGCTTGGGATCAGTGACCTCATGAGCCAGAGAAACTGTTCCAAAGATGGACCCACATCCTCCACCAACCCTGAAGTGACCCCTGATCCCTGCAATTACAGTGGCCACACAGTAGCCAGAGAACATCGTGGAGGGGAGAAGTCTCCTACTACTACTTACCTATTTTGTGGCTTGTTTGGTGATCCTCACCTGAGGACTTTTAAGGATCACTTCCAGACATGCAAAGTGGAAGGTGCTTGGCCCCTCGTAGACAATAACTACTTGTCAGTGCAAGTGACCAACGTGCCTGTGGTCCCAGGATCCAGTGCTACTGCTACAAATAAGGTATGGATTGTTCTTAAGTACTGTGCATGCGTACAGAAGTAAAAGGCCAAGACAGTAGAGTAAGTCACTTAACCCTTAACAGTTAAGAAGTGTAGCAGCTTGAGAATCTTCCAAGTAGTCTAAGAAAATAAAACTGTCTAAGAGTCAAACAAAACTTAAAACAGGTCCTTTTCTCTTCCTTCATCTCCTCCCCACCACAAAAAAAAAACAACCTGTAGCACATAAGCCTTTACGGATAATAAATTTACAACAGTTACCAGGTTGCAGCAGCTGTGACTGCCTATGCACTAAGTAGAAGTTTTAGGCAAGGATTAAGGTAACTCTCTGCTTTTCATTAATTCTCTAAGTTGTATAGCCATAACAGTAGAAAACAAAAACCAAAAGAGTGGCACAACAAATGAGTTACCAAGACACTGAGGGTTCAGAGCACAGGCAAGAAGAAGAACTGTGAAGAGGAGAATTGAGAGGAGGTAGCAAAAAAATTACATTGATGCCAAGTGGTTGTCAGAAGGTCTTAGTATCCTGGCTTTACTCAAGAAGCAGCAGCCTGAAAATTCTGCTGAAAGTGTAAGTCTCTGTTCAGACAGGCAAGGCTTAGATTGCTCTCCTCTCAGCCCCTTGAGGTGGCTAGAGAAGGAATACGTGCACTAGTATTGATAGCTTATGCCATTTCTTTACCTTAAGAAAAGTAATTGTCTCTTACTGTTGAAGGCAGATAACAAGTGTGTCTGTAGGAAGAAAATGAGGGCGTATAAAGCATAAGCCTGGATGATGTGTTCTTAGATTTACCTCCAAAGCCAGGGCTGAAAAACGCTCTGAACTTTTGGGGGTATCTGTCTATCAATAAAAGGAATTACTTAAACATACGTTTGAAGCTGATGCTGTCACATATCTCATTCTCTTTTTGGAGTGAAATGGCCTTTTTTTAACTATGGTAGTATAGCTCTTACATTATCAAGGTATGTCAGGCTATGTGTACGCAGTTTCAAGACCATTAGTATTTGGAGAATTTTCACTGTTTTGCTAAGTACGGAAGTAGGTTTTTTATTACTGGGGTCAGGAGCAGGTCATAGTAGGTTAGAGCCTGCACATCTTCCATGGAGATGGCTGTGCAGTAATATTAAGAAGTGAAAATCAGTCTTGCTATTGCATTTGTACTGGATTCTGAGGTACTGACTAATGTCAGTGCTTGTATGAGTGAGGCAAATTTTTGCATTTGTCAGAAGCCGGAAGTTGGACCGATACATCAAGGAAATTCAGAATCAACTTTTCTTAACTTGTGCCTGTTCCAATAACAGTCTGCATCATGAATGAGTTCTGAATGAGTATAAAATGAGGGAATGAGGCTAACCTGAGTAAGCTTTGCAAAAGAGACTTAAGTCCCTTGAAATCCGCTTCGCTGGCTTTTCTCAAAGACTCTTAAATAACTGGAAGAAAAAGCTGCATTTCATAATCTGCAGTAAGTTTTTATCCTCAGTTTTGCTGAAGTCTTGCAGAATGTTCTTTACTTCCTTGTTCCTGGTAGTACTGGCGGAAAACGTTGAGAGTCATCTTGTGTTGTGCGGCTGGTTAGGCTGTGATGGTAGTAGATAAGTGATCTTATCTTACCCTTTAGCCACGTTCTGAAAATGATTGACTATGGTAGCATGTTATGCTGGAATATGTCTTCTGAAACATAATCAGGAGAACTTCAGGAGATCAATGTATATGCATACTGTACATGTTCTAAAGGCTGCACCTTCTGTCTTTATTTATTCTCAATGTTTTTGTGTTTTTCTTTGACTTATTCTGGAAAAAGTGGTAATATTTTTTTTCTCTTTTATAATAGTGGCTTGACATCCCTGTTGTTCACAAGTACAGCTAAATGTGCAGAAGCAGTTAAATGAAATAAGATGTATGGTTTAGGATACTAGAAATGCCTCTAGTGCTAATCTGTTACATGTTATACAGTCCTTGATTTTTTTCTTTCTTTGGCAGGTAATCAAACTTACCAGCACACCTGTTTGTAGGAGATGAAGGTTGTTTGAATGTACAAGTAACTTAGCAAGATAAGTTTTAATTTCTCTAATGCATCCTCTTGATTCCTTTATTTTTTATGGAGCAAGCTGCTATAAAAGATACAGAAAAGGCTTGTTAAACTACACTGCCAGTGCTGGTTTCATTCTGCTAACATTTTTCTCTGCAAGTATTCCATTTTGGTTGTGATGGTGGACTGTCTGCTGCTGGGTGTGCTTTCCTAATTTTGGCCACAGGGTAGCTTCAGGCACCTTTGGAGAGCTACCAAGTTCAGTGACTTTTATCTATGTAGTGTTTTTTCCCTAGCTGAGAGCATGCAAATAGGTCTTCTACCTTCTTTGTAAGAAAAATTCCCAGAACATTATCCATTGTTAGTCTTGCTGCTTTTTCATTGCAGGTATTTGAGATAGGTGTTTAATGGGAAATAATAACAAATATTTATGCTGAACTTAAATTGTGCAGAAGCCAAAGTGGATACTAAATTGCTAACTAGCCTACTTAATCTATGGTCAAGCAGATCTAATGAAAACAAAGAAAAAAAGAGTAGAAAATTCAGTTTTACCTGAATGCACTTTTTTAGGGGAAGTGATTTAACAAGCTGTAGGAACAAAATATTTAATCTTCATCCCATATGCTTTTGAAAGGGGCATACCATCACTTAGTTTCACCTTCAAATTTATCATAGCTTTCTGGTGTACCAAGCTTTAAGGGAATCAGCAATGAAGGGAGCATTATGTGTAAAGTAAATTTTCTTCTCTTTCCAAAACCTACAAGACTTGAGGGCTGATTGTTCCCCAACAGCCTGAGGGCTGTCCAGTAAGTTCATAGAGGACAAGAGAATGCCAGAAGGAGATTGTGAAGAATAAAAGTATGTTTCCCTGCCCTCTCTCTCCTCCCCACCCCCTCCTCCC